TCTCCGTCCATCCTGAGGCCGAGTCCCACATACAGCAACTAGAAGGATGTGCAGCTATGACATACAACTATCTACTGGGGCTTTGGGGGGAAAAAATTAAATAAATAAAATCTTTAAAAAAAAAAAAAAGACAATACACTTGAAATAGACGAATATACTTTTGGATATCCCGCCACCTCCTTTGGACAAATTGTGGCAAAAGGGGGGAGTTTCGTCAACTTTCAGGGTTCTGTGCCATATCTGTTCACGGCTCTGAGGCCCCAATCCTGAAAGGCTCTCACCCGCAAGAGCCAATCACTCAACCATCACCTCATCATCATTCAATCATCATTCAGTCATCATTTCATAATTAACATCAAAATTCCAAACATATACAAATCAAGAAGTGTGTTCTGAATTCAGCAGAAAGGTACAATGGAAAAAACACAAACATCGAACACTGTGTAATTCTTGTTACTCACCACGGCCTGGCTGGAGCTCTCCTGCAGATCCCACAGCAGAATGTGGTTGTCCGCCAGTGAGATGACTTTCTTCCCATCTCCCGTGGGCTCCCACACGACACTGAGAGAAGGAGAAGTGTCAGATATCAACATGGACATTTGAGAGGCGCAGACTTGTTGCTAAGGGCTTTTACACAAATCCTTCATCAACCAGCAAGGCCTCTTCCTGGCCCATCGCCACCAGCTGTGTTTATCAAGTGCCTTATTTGATGACACTGTGCAGGCATTGTGTTATCTCTGCTGAGGACAGAATGTCTGTCCTGTCCCCAGATTCACCTGGTGTTAGAAGGTGGGGCTTCTGGGAGGTGATCAGGTTTAGATGAGGTTGTGAGGGTGGGGTCCCATCATGGGATTACTGCTCTTATAAGGACTGACACCCAAGTATGAGAGAGCTCTGTTTCTCTACCTCAGTATCCCCCGACCCCCCACAGGAACACACAGCAAAAGGCAGCCGCCTATAAACTGGGAAGAGAGTCCTTACCAGGACCCTACCAAGCCGACCTCTGATCTCAGACTTCCGGCCTCCAGAATCGTGAGAAACACACGTTTCTGTGATTTAAGCCCCAGTTTGCGGTGTTTGGCCTGGCAGCCGAGCTGACTGCGACACTTGCCGACACATCTTCCCGTGACTGACTCAGGACGCAGAGCTGACCAGCTCCGGACAGTGAGACTCGGAGGGGCCTGCCGGGGGCTGGGTCTAAGGAGGCACAGGAAAGACGCTGCGATTGTGGAAAGGATGCCCACGTGTTTTGTAGCCATCTCCTCACCAGCCCAAGGATGCGGCCCATGTCCTGGTGGAGACGTGAGGCAGAGCTGAGAGCAGAGCGGAGAAGGGGCGTCGCAGCCCCGATGTACGAGGCTCACAGTTGACCTGCCTGTGATATCAGATAATTTCCTTACATTTCCCCCAATTTAGTCATAGTTTCCCATTATCTGCAGCCAAAACCATCCTAACTGATACAATGCATATCTGAATAACTAACAAAAGACCAAAAATCATATCGCCTCTGTGGTAACGCCATGAAGAGATCAAGAATTTTTCAGTTTCGTCCCAAGTATGGACTTCTGTTTCCCCTGATGAAATTCTTAAAGTGCTTATAAAGAGGAGAATTTCATTTCACGTACTCTAACCTGCAAGTTGCTGAAGACATCAATAAAGAATGCACTATTTCTTTTTCACACAGAACACAATACTGACTGATTGGGGCATCCTCACGTGCACCTCCCTCATACCATCTTTCAAGACTGTCAATGGAGCTATTATTACTTTTAATCACAACAGTAATATGATATAATTCAAATCCACAATTTCTCTCTCATTCACAGTTTAAGAAATGCACACAGAGTTCATAGCACCATGACCACAGGTACGTCACTCCTACATCAGACAAAGAGCTTACTGCATCTTTTCTAATAACAATTAAAAATGCACAATATCCGGTAAACAAAATCAAACCACAATTGCTGAAAGAGATGCCAAGAAATGTGGTTCTGAAATCGGCTGTTCCTATTCTGTTAAAATAACAGCCAACTGGCAAACTTAGCAGAGTTCAGACAACTGACAACGAATGCCCAGGGGAAGTGCAAACAGGGAGAGAAGACGGAGAAGGACAAACGCACCCTTGTCCTGGAGAGGACGTCATCTGCTGGACGTTTTCTGTCTCAGCCCGCTCGGGCTGCCACGGCAAGATCCACGGACCAGGAGGCTTACACAGCAAACGCCGGTTCCTCACAGTCAGGGAGGCTGGAAGGCCATGAGCACGGCCAGGTTCTGGTGAGGGCCCTTCCTGGATCACAGACAGCCGCCCTCGTGCTGCGTCCTCATGCGGCACAGAGCAGAGAGACGAAGCCCTCGTGTCCCTTTTATAAGGGCACTGATCCTCACAAGAGCTCCACCCTCGTGACCTAATTATCTCCCAAAGGCCCCATCGCCAAATACCTACACATCGGAGATTAGGGTTTCAACATATGAATTTGCGGGGGACAAAAAAATGCAGTCCATATACTATATATTAGGGGCAATAAATTTAGATTGATTTATAGGCTCCTCACCAGATCACACTTATAAATTATGCATGCCCCCTCCCCAACACACACGCCCGAAAGCCAGGACAAGGACTACCTGCACTGCTGTGGTGGTGAATTCAGTGAGCAAGACCAGTCTGTGGGCCATTGCACAGACACACGGAATTTTTAACAGAAACTCCAGAAAGCCAGATTCCCAGCTAACTAACAAATCACAAGATAAGAATTAGCTCATTTGATGCCAAAGATTGACGACCTAATTATGATGTGAAGTGAACAGCTTATAGGTCATCCATGTCTTTCCCCCAGACCATTTTTATTTTTTTTATTGTGAAATTTTTGTTGTACATTATTGTTTATCAGTCACCATATAAGTGCATCCCTCCACCCCTTGTACCCACCTCTCACCCCCCTAGCCCCTGGTAACCACCAAACAGTTCTATCTGTCTGTGTATCGGTTTGTCTTCCACATATGAGTGAAATAATGAACTGTTTGTCTTTCTCTTTCTGGCTTATTTCACTTAACATAATACCCTCCAGGTCCATCCTTGTTGTTGCAAATGGGAGGATTTTGTCTTTTTTTACAGCTGAGCAGTATTCCATGGTATATATATACACCACATCTTCTTTATCCAATCATCAGTCGAGGGAAACTTGGGTTGCTTCCATGTCTTGGCTATAGTGAATAATGCTGCGATGAACATAGGTGTGCATAAGCCTCTTTGGATTGTTGATTTCAGGTTCATTGGGTAGATACCCAGTAGCGTGATAGCTGGATCATAAGGTATTTCTATTTTTAATTTTTTGAGGAATCTCCATACTGTTTTCCACAGAGGCTGTGCCAGTTTGCATTCCCACCATCAGTGGATTAGGGTTCCCATTTCTCCACAGCCTCTCCAGCATTTGTTGCTTTTTGTCTTGGTGATTATAGCCATTCTAACAGGTGTAAGATGATATCTTAATGTGGTTTTGATTTGCAATTCTCTGATGATTAGTGATGTTGAGCACCTTTTCAT